CCTGCTCTGTGTCATCACAGTGTAGTCACAGCGCCCCCTGTCTCAGCGGTCACTAACTGCAGCTTCTGTCACAGAAGCTACGGTCTGTCGAGTGCTCCATAAGGCGCGCCGGACCTCCCTGCGTCCTATGGTCCGGTGCGTCTTATGGACCGCTAAATACGGTATATAAGATGTGAGGGAGTACAAACATTTTAATAAGGTTAATCCAGGCGAATGGCGAGGTAGCGCTAGTAACGGATATAGTAGTAGCCGGAATGTTAATGGCCAGCATGTGGGATTTAGCCCTCGGTCACACCCGAACGTTTCGTGGCGCGGTCTACGCTCGGCGAACGCTCTACAAAACGCTCAAACATCTAAATCCCATTGTATTCAATGGTCTCGTTCCCACCTCGGCGTATATTCCCGCCCGTCCCCTAACGCGCTACAAAACGGCCCACGCCCGAAAAGGCGCAGGTACTACTTTGGGCCGTTTTGTTTGCGCGTTTCCATCGGGATACAGCCAAGTGGCCTTCGGAAACGCGCCACGGTCGCGCGACTTTTTTGCAATACGCCTGGGTGTGAACGAGACCTTAGAGAAGAGTTGTGGGTGTGCAGGAGGCACAGGACCACAGGCAGACTCTGCTGCGTGCGCGAGCACAAGGTGACACAGCCAGGAAGGCCGGAGAGGTCCAGAGGGTCCGTGACCCTGAGATACCTGTCGGGGGGACAGAGAGGGACGGTGACCCTGAGATACCTATCGGGGGGACAGAGAGGGACGGTGACCCTGAGATACCTATCGGGGGGACAGAGAGGGACGGTGACCCTGAGATACCTATCGGGGGGACAGAGAGGGACGGTGACCCTGAGATACCTATCGGGGGGACAGAGAGGGACGGTGACCCTGAGATACCTATCGGGGGGACAGAGAGGGACGGTGACCCTGAGATACCTATCGGGGGGACAGAGAGGGACGGTGACCCTGAGATACCTATCGGGGGGACAGAGAGGGACGGTGACCCTGAGATACCTATCGGGGGGACAGAGAGGGACGGTGACCCTGAGATACCTATCGGGGGGACAGAGAGGGACGGTGACCCTGAGATACCTATCGGGGGGACAGAGAGGGACGGTGACCCTGAGATACCTATCGGGGGGACAGAGAGGGACGGTGACCCTGAGATACCTATCGGGGGGACAGAGAGGGACGGTGACCCTGAGATACCTATCGGGGGGACAGAGAGGGACGGTGACCCTGAGATACCTATCGGGGGGACAGAGAGGGACGGTGACCCTGAGATACCTATCGGGGGGACAGAGAGGGACGGTGACCCTGAGATACCTATCGGGGGGACAGAGAGGGACGGTGACCCTGAGATACCTATCGGGGGGACAGAGAGGGACGGTGACCCTGAGATACCTATCGGGGGGACAGAGAGGGACGGTGACCCTGAGATACCTATCGGGGGGACAGAGAGGGACGGTGACCCTGAGATACCTATCGGGGGGACAGAGAGGGACGGTGACCCTGAGATACCTATCGGGGGGACAGAGAGGGACGGTGACCCTGAGATACCTATCGGGGGGACAGAGAGGGACGGTGACCCTGAGATACCTATCGGGGGGACAGAGAGGGACGGTGACCCTGAGATACCTATCGGGGGGACAGAGAGGGACGGTGACCCTGAGATACCTATCGGGGGGACAGAGAGGGACGGTGACCCTGAGATACCTATCGGGGGGACAGAGAGGGACGGTGACCCTGAGATACCTATCGGGGGGACAGAGAGGGACGGTGACCCTGAGATACCTATCGGGGGGACAGAGAGGGACGGTGACCCTGAGATACCTATCGGGGGGACAGAGAGGGACGGTGACCCTGAGATACCTATCGGGGGGACAGAGAGGGACGGTGACCCTGAGATACCTATCGGGGGGACAGAGAGGGACGGTGACCCTGAGATACCTATCGGGGGGACAGAGAGGGACGGTGACCCTGAGATACCTATCGGGGGGACAGAGAGGGACGGTGACCCTGAGATACCTATCGGGGGGACAGAGAGGGACGGTGACCCTGAGATACCTATCGGGGGGACAGAGAGGGACGGTGACCCTGAGATACCTATCGGGGGGACAGAGAGGGACGGTGACCCACGAGGGGTGGCTACTGAACTGCTTGGAGCTGAGGACTGTATTCACAGACAAATACGGTAAAGTCCTGGGACTATCACACGCGGAGTGTGTGGGACAGACAGAGGTCGGTGAGACCAACCACAATGTCTTGATGAGGCTCCTGAATGAACTGTTATGCTTGATTTATGCTGAATACAGACCGTCCTTTTATGGTGAAGTGGGCTTCAGGAGCGGTCACTTAGCGCTCACCATTGTGCTATATTCCCCGAACTATCACAGAGGTTTATCTCTTTCCAAAGCATAGCTCTTTTATTAGGGTTGTTAAGGCCTTTAGCATTAAAGGAGAACTATGAGGGGGGGAGGGGCTTGTCACTCACCTCATAGTTCTAGCCGACCCGTGACAATGAGACTGTCACAGGTCGGCTCAGTAGATCGGGAGGTGAGAGAACACATACCGGCGTTCGCTCACTTCTCGATCCTGTCACGGCTCTCTGCCGTGACAGGGGGAGGGGCTGGATTCCCCCCTCCCCGCTCCGATCTGATTGGCGGAACGGACGGGGGAGGGGGCGGGTACAGCTGGCTCTAGATAGCTGTCACTCCTCACGCAGCTGGGCGGATCCCGTCGCCTACGTCGGGATCCGCTCCGGCTGCGGCGTCTCGGATACCGCGAGCTGTATACTGAGCTTAGGGTGACGGGAGGACGCTAGTTTGTGTCCTCCCGTTACCCCAAGGAGAACTATGGGGGAAAAACACTGACCCCCATAGTTCTCCTTTAAACGGGGGGTAAGAACAATCCGATCGAGCGAAAATCGCCGGATCTTGAAGATCAGGATCAGGTAGCATGTTCTAGAACCTTGGTTCTCAACTGGTGGGTCGTGACCCAAAAGTGGGACGCGACCTTGTTTTCAGCGGGTCGCCGGCGTGCCTTCCACTTTTCTATGCGAGAGGCTTCCTGTCGGGGGGACAGAGAGGGACGGTGACCCTGAGATACCTGTCGGGGGGACAGAGAGGGACGGTGACCCTGAGATACCTGTCGGGGGGACAGAGAGGGACGGTGACCCTGAGATACCTGTCGGGGGGACAGAGAGGGACGGTGACCCTGAGATACCTGTCGGGGGGACAGAGAGGGACGGTGACCCTGAGATACCTGTCGGGGGGACAGAGAGGGACGGTGACCCTGAGATACCTGTCGGGGGGACAGAGAGGGACGGTGACCCTGAGATACCTGTCGGGGGGACAGAGAGGGACGGTGACCCTGAGATACCTGTCGGGGGGACAGAGAGGGACGGTGACCCTGAGATACCTGTCGGGGGGACAGAGAGGGTCGGTGACCCTGAGATACCTGTCGGGGGGACAGAGAGGGACGGTGACCCTGAGATACCTATCGGGGGGACAGAGAGGGACGGTGACCCACGAGGGGTGGCTACTGAACTGCTTGGAGCTGAGGACTGTATTCACAGACAAATACGGTAAAGTCCTGGGACTATCACACGCGGAGTGTGTGGGACAGACAGAGGTCGGTGAGACCAACCACAATGTCTTGATGAGGCTCCTGAATGAACTGTTATGCTTGATTTATGCTGAATACAGACCGTCCTTTTATGGTGAAGTGGGCTTCAGGAGCGGTCACTTAGCGCTCACCATTGTGCTATATTCCCCGAACTATCACAGAGGTTTATCTCTTTCCAAAGCATAGCTCTTTTATTAGGGTTGTTAAGGCCTTTAGCATTAAAGGAGAACTATGAGGGGGGGAGGGGCTTGTCACTCACCTCATAGTTCTAGCCGACCCGTGACAATGAGACTGTCACAGGTCGGCTCAGTAGATCGGGAGGTGAGAGAACACATACCGGCGTTCGCTCACTTCTCGATCCTGTCACGGCTCTCTGCCGTGACAGGGGGAGGGGCTGGATTCCCCCCTCCCCGCTCCGATCTGATTGGCGGAACGGACGGGGGAGGGGGCGGGTACAGCTGGCTCTAGATAGCTGTCACTCCTCACGCAGCTGGGCGGATCCCGTCGCCTACGTCGGGATCCGCTCCGGCTGCGGCGTCTCGGATACCGCGAGCTGTATACTGAGCTTAGGGTGACGGGAGGACGCTAGTTTGTGTCCTCCCGTTACCCCAAGGAGAACTATGGGGGAAAAACACTGACCCCCATAGTTCTCCTTTAAACGGGGGGTAAGAACAATCCGATCGAGCGAAAATCGCCGGATCTTGAAGATCAGGATCAGGTAGCATGTTCTAGAACCTTGGTTCTCAACTGGTGGGTCGTGACCCAAAAGTGGGACGCGACCTTGTTTTCAGCGGGTCGCCGGCGTGCCTTCCACTTTTCTATGCGAGAGGCTCCTCGGCCTCCCCCTAGCGCAGCCATTCAGAATATGCTGCCCGGCGCCGAGTGTCAGCTGGAGGTGGGGTGGGCTGGAGCTATGGCCGCGAGGGAGCTCCACCCACACGTGCATTGCTTACAGTTTCCGCATGTGACCTACAGGGAGTGGTACCAGCAACGCATGCACGGATGGAGCTCCGTCACAGCAGCCCAGCACTGGACCCCAAGCTGAGGATCGCACCGCGATGCCGTGCGTTCCATTGCAGTGCGACTCGGGTCGCCACTTGATGTCCGAGGACGAATGCGGGTCCCGAGGTTACGCAGGTTGAGAACCGCTGTTCTAGAAGGTGGGGCGTCTCCACCTAGGTGAGAGAGCCGTGTGAAGTCAGCGAGGTGACCAGTCCATATGGATCTTCCTGGCTTGTTGAGGCCGGGACGTTGGAGTCGGCATGGTTACAGGTATATTCCAGGAATGCAGAACTCGAACACCGCCAGCCGGGGGTCAGCATAGGAATTATTTTGTGGAGATGAGAGACCAGGAGCCTCGTCGGGAATCCCCCATTCGCAGGAAATCTGACGATCACGAAGCGCCTTGGTGTCGCGCCTCTTATGGATGAGGGGGGGTTGTGGATCGCGACTGCGGAGGCTTCTCAGTCAGTGGAACCCTGGTTTCACTCTCGACTTAACGGAGACTTAAAGGAGAACTACGGGGTCAGTTGTCACAGGTCGGCTTAGAACTATGAGGTGAGTGAAAAGCCCCTCCCCCCCTCGTAGTTCTCCTTTAAGGTGCCCATACACTTTACAACCCTCGCCAGACTTTTGCCTTGCGAGGGTTGTAAAGCACTTTAAAAAAACGTACGGTCTGCCCGTCTTGGACAGGCAGATCGTACTTGCGATCATCGCAAGCCACGCCCCCCTTGAGGGTGTGCGCAGTCGTCGAACCAGCAGGCCACTCACTCGCCGAGAACCGTACGGGCTTTCCAGCCTGCTGGTTCGACGGAAGACGCGCGGCCGTACAGTAGAAACGGTCGCACGCCTCCCATGCACCGCACGGTTCTCCTGCGATCGCGGGATTTCCCGCCATTCCCGTGCGAGAATCGTGCGGTGCATGGGCACCTTTTAGGGTTTCTGGCATCACGGCCTCCAATTAAATAATCTCTGGTTTTCGAGCGGGTTTATTCCTGCATAGGCCCTACCCCTGAGCACCGGCGTTCATTTAGGATCTGCTGAGCAGCAGGTGAGAGAGGGGCGCAAGTCAGTGCAGCAATGGTTCACTAGTGGCAAGACATAAAGGTGTAGGTGGTATAGCATACAGTCTCTACGAAGGGTGTGCTACTGCGCTGAATACTTGCTGTTTTGAGTAGAGCTGCAGCTAACGATTATTTTCAAAATCGATTAGTTAGCCGATTATTAAGTTCTGGGGGGGGGGGGGTGCAGGCTTACCTGAGCAGTCTTCCAGCAACTTGCTTCTGAGATCGGACCTGTCCCTCACACCTGCTCCTCCTTACTACATCTTCGCCGCGCACCTGTGCCGGTCGTGGATGTGGGCGGGTAGTGAGTGTAAGAGGGGGAGGAGGTGCGGCGTGTAGAGCGTGGATGCGGGCGGGCGGGCCTGGCAGCGGCGAGTGTGAGGTGGGGAATAGTGCGACGTGCAGCATGTGGGAAGCCGTGAACAGGGCCAACTGATCGGAAGCCGATTAATCGATTATTGAAAAAGTTGACAACTTTATCAATAATCGATTATGTCGATTAGTTGTTGCAGCCCTAGTTTTGAGACATCTTGGTTCTTCTCATGATGGTCACAGTGATGGGCTCCATTATCTTACAGTCAATTTCCCTTATCACTGATATGGAGGTCATCATCATCATCATCATCCGCGGCTTACAGACTACGTCGGTGTCATGTGATGACAGTGTCCCCTTTGGTGGTCTGTGCGGAAGGAACGTCTTTGCAATGGAGGTCAGTGGAGATGTCACCTTAGATTAGTGCGTCGTGGAGAATTGTCCCATTAAAACAAAGCTGGCCGTGGGTTTTAAGAAATAATTCCTGATGACCGATGTGAGTCGACGCGTCCTCCTGACATATCCGAGGAGAGTTTAATAAATGATCCCAAACAAAGAGAATCCTCACTTTATATACCAATGAAGATCCGACCCAGAAACTGCCATCAGAATATTACAACCGAGGCTGCAGAACTTATATCCTCCACAAGGTGGAGACATCACTCATTGTCAGTGTAAATCAGACGGGAAGTGACGTTGAACGGAGACAGGAAGTGATGTAATTAAGAAACAGGAAGTGAGGTCACATTAATAGAAAGTTCCGGGTTAAAAGTGGGTAGAGAGGAGACATTGCTGGAACTGGCAGCAGAGGAGGTAATAAGATATATTATATATACACCCAGTAACCCCCCTCCCCCCCACTATATTTGCTTTGGTCCTCTCTAGTCACTGTGAAGTCTTCTATCTCCAGAAGATACCACTACACGCACAACAAGAGCCATTTATCCAACTGTCCCTCCAGAGCCGCCATTTATAGACCAGATACATCCTAAATATAGAGCCATTTATCCAACTGTCCCTCCAGAGCCGCCATTTATAGACCAGATACATCCTAAATATAGAGCCATTTATCCAACTGTCCCTCCAGAGCCGCCATTTATAGACCAGATACATCCTAAATATAGAGCCATTTATCCAACTGTCCCTCCAGAGCCGCCATTTATAGACCAGATACATCCTAAATATAGAGCCATTTATCCAACTGTCCCTCCAGAGCCGCCATTTATAGACCAGATACATCCTAAATATAGAGCCATTTATCCAACTGTCCCTCCAGAGCCGCCATTTATAGACCAGATACATCCTAAATATAGAGCCATTTATCCAACTGTCCCTCCAGAGCCGCCATTTATAGACCAGATACATCCTAAATATAGAGCCATTTATCCAACTGTCCCTCCAGAGCCGCCATTTATAGACCAGATACATCCTAAATATAGAGCCATTTATCCAACTGTCCCTCCAGAGCCGCCATTTATAGACCAGATACATCCTAAATATAGAGCCATTTATCCAACTGTCCCTCCAGAGCCGCCATTTATAGACCAGATACATCCTAAATATAGAGCCATTTATCCAACTGTCCCTCCAGAGCCGCCATTTATAGACCAGATACATCCTAAATATAGAGCCATTTATCCAACTGTCCCTCCAGAGCCGCCATTTATAGACCAGATACATCCTAAATATAGAGCCATTTATCCAACTGTCCCTCCAGAGCCGCCATTTATAGACCAGATACATCCTAAATATAGAGCCATTTATCCAACTGTCCCTCCAGAGCCGCCATTTATAGACCAGATACATCCTAAATATAGAGCCATTTATCCAACTGTCCCTCCAGAGCCGCCATTTATAGACCAGATACATCCTAAATATAGAGCCATTTATCCAACTGTCCCTCCAGAGCCGCCATTTATAGACCAGATACATCCTAAATATAGAGCCATTTATCCAACTGTCCCTCCAGAGCCGCCATTTATAGACCAGATACATCCTAAATATAGAGCCATTTATCCAACTGTCCCTCCAGAGCCGCCATTTATAGACCAGATACATCCTAAATATAGAGCCATTTATCCAACTGTCCCTCCAGAGCCGCCATTTATAGACCAGATACATCCTAAATATAGAGCCATTTATCCAACTGTCCCTCCAGAGCCGCCATTTATAGACCAGATACATCCTAAATATAGAGCCATTTATCCAACTGTCCCTCCAGAGCCGCCATTTATAGACCAGATACATCCTAAATATAGAGCCATTTATCCAACTGTCCCTCCAGAGCCGCCATTTATAGACCAGATACATCCTAAATATAGAGCCATTTATCCAACTGTCCATCCAGAGCCGCCATTTATAGACCGGATATATTCTAATCTATGAGAGAACATTCACCGATGTGATTTCTTGTTCCCTTTCACAGATCTGTTCCGTCATCTTTGGGGTGAAGAAATGAAAGACGTCAAAGATGAAGTTAAAGAAGAAGAAGAGACGTTGAGTCATTGTGTGTCTCCTACAGATGGATCCAGTAAGAGGAACCCACCAGAGAGATGTCCCCGTCCTCTGTATTCCCGGGATCCCACCCAGGAAGATCTCACCCTCCCCCACCATGGCCAGGTAGGTGGGACTCGGCGTGTAGATATAAAGATGTATTCTGAGCTATGAGGAGACGTTCCCCGATGTAATCTCTTCCCGGTCACATATCTGTTCCGTCACCTTCGGGGTTTAGGGTGAAGATCTGGAAAACATGAAAGTTGAGGTGAAAGAAGAAGAGACGTTGGTGGGAGGAGCTCAGCAGTCTATGGAGGAGGGGGAGATGATGGTGAAGAGTGAGCAGGAGGAATCTTCTCTACATACGGACACAAGTAAGTCATAAACACAGGAACGGGTCACATGTTCGTTGTGCCTCTCGGAGTATAAAATGTGTATTCACATCGTTATATGGGATGAAATAGAACTTCTATCTCCACTGACTAAAAAAAAATTGAAGACTCTTCCTCATTTTTACAGCTTTTATGGAAAATATCACCATTATAAATACAGAAGTAGACCATTTGTCTTGTAATTAGGTAAAGTGTATACTGTCCTCGTTCAAGACAGATACTCACATCCTTCCGTACAATGAAGAGCTAGAAATCTGTTCATAGAAAGACCGTCATCGATATACCTCCACCACCATCTAATGTTCCCGACAAATGAGGTGGAGGTATACGGTGTATGAAATCTCTAGTCATCACCAGAAGAATTGAGGAGATACTGTACACCATATGAAGGTCCATCTCCATTCCCCAATATAACGTCATATGACCAACAAATGAGGAGGAGATACTGTACACCATATGAAGGTCCATCTCCATTCCCCAATATAACGTCATGTGACCAACAAATGAGGAGGAGATACTGGACACCATATGAAGGTCCATCTCCATTCCTCAATATAACGTCATGTGACCAACCAATGAGGAGGAGACACTGTACACCATATGAAGGTCCATCTCCATTCCCCAATATAACGTCATGTGACCAACCAATGAGGAGGAGATACTGTACACCATATGAAGGTCCATCTCCATTCCTCAATATAACGTCATGTGACCAACAAATGAGGAGGAGATACTGTACACCATATGAAGGTCCATCTCCATTCCTCAATATAACGTCATGTGACCAACAAATGAGATACTATATACACTGTATGGCACGATGGATAAGTCTCTGCTTGTATTTCTCAGCATTGATCCTGACCAAATCTTCAACTCCATTGGCAGAAAGTCAAGCCCCAGACCTGCAAGGAACCTCCACCATGCTTCACAGTTGGTGCAGACACTCATTATTGTACCACTTGCCAGCCCTTCGTCCCCACGGCAGAACACACGTCCCCAAAGCAGTATTCCTCTCAAAAGGCTGATGCTGGGACCTGGCCTCTTCTCCGTCAGCCGGCCATTACCACTGCCTTCTCCCAGGCCAAGTGCTCCCCTGTAAATCGGCGGCAGAAACCCCCAGCTTCTAGCCCTGGGGGCGGCCGACCCCTGAAGGATAGATACGGCCCCTGAAGGTTAGATACGGCCCTGGAAGGATAGATACGACTCCTGAAGGATAGATACGGCCCCTGAAGGATAGATACGGCCCCTGAAGGATAGATACGGCCCCTGAAGGATAGATACGGCCCCTGAGTGATAGATATGACCCCTGAAGGGTAGATACGGCTCCTGAGGGGTAGATATGGCCCCTGAAGGGTAGATACGGCCCCTTAAGGGTAGATACCACCCCTGAAGGATAGATACGGCCCCTGAAGGATAGATACGGCTCCTTAAGGGTAGATACGGCCCCTTAAGGATAGATACGGCCCCTAAGGGATAGATGCGACCCCCGAAGGATAGATACGGCCCCTGAAGGATAGATACGGCCCCTTAAGGGTAGATACGGCCCCTGAAGGATAGATACGGCCCCTTAAGGGTAGATGCGACCCCTGAAGGATAGATATGACCTCTGAAGGATAGATATGACCCCTGAAGGATAGATATGACCCCTGAAGGATAGATACGGCTCCTGAAGGATAGATATGACCCCTGAAGGATAGATATGACCCCTGAAGGGTAGATATGACCCCTGAAGGGAAGACGGATACAAATATAACATGTACTCATCATTACTCTCTCACAGATGTACAGAAGTGGAATATAAAGACATCGGAGGGACGTCTTATTATATCTCCAGACGGTGAAGCAGAAGACGGCGACATTGCGCAACATTCTCCCAAAGTCAATTCTTCCCCTTCAGAGAGATCGATGGATCCGTCCAATCCTGAGGAACCTTCTGATCAATCGCGTCACATGACCTCAGATGTCCATCAAGGTCCTCACAGTGCGGAGAGATCAAGAGGTCCTTCTAATCCTGAGGAACCTTCTGTAAGCCCTGAAGGAGATCACACAGGAGAGCGGCCGCATTCATGTGCAGAGTGCGGGAAATCTTTCAAGGAGAGAAGATCGCTTCTCCTGCACCAGAGAATCCACACGGACGAACGTCCCCATTCATGTTCAGAGTGTGGAAAAGGTTTCAGACAGAAAGGACACCTTCTTCAACACCTAAGAATTCACACCGGTGAGCGACCATATTCATGTTCCGAGTGTGGGAAAAGTTTTGCAGAAAAAACAACATTTGATAGACACGAGAAAAGTCACACGGGCGAACGTCCCCATTCATGTTCAGAGTGCGGAAAAGGTTTCATTCAGAAAGGAGAACTTCTTAAACACCAGAGAAGGCACACTGGTGAGCGACCATATTCGTGTTCCGAGTGCGGGAAATGTTTTGCAGAAAAAACAACACTTCACAGACACGAGAAAAGTCACAGGGGCGAACGTCCCCATTCATGTTCAGAGTGCGGAAAAGGTTTCAGCCAGAAAGGACACCTTCTTCAACACCTAAGAATTCACACCGGTGAGCGACCATATTCATGTTCTGAATGCGGGAAATGTTTTGCAGAAAGAAAAACATTTGATAGACACGAGAAAAAGCACACGGGTGAACGTCCCCATTCATGTTCAGAGTGCGGGAAAGGTTTCATTCACAAAGGAGAACTTCTCAAACACCACAGAAGTCACACTGGTGAGCGACCATATTCGTGTTCGGAATGCGACAAATGTTTCACTCAGAGAAGTAGCCTTGTTGCACACCAGAAAATCCACACAGGTGAGCGACAACGCATGCATGTTCAGAGGGCAAGAAACATTTCCCACAGAAAGTAATGCTCCTTTGTCACCGGTGATGAAGGAGCATGGAAGCCGGGGGGGGTGTGGAGTCATTACCCACCCCTCCGGCTTCCTGATTAGTCGGGAAGCCGTCTCCATGGTCCCTCGTCACCGAGTGATGAGGGGGCATGGACCAATCAAGAATCCGGGGTGAAAGTCATTACATGCTGCCCGGCTTCCTGATTGGCCGAATCGCTGGTGATGAAGAAGCATGGAGCTGGCTTCCCGGCCAATCAAGAAGCCGACGGCGTGTAACTTCTTGCCGCCCCCCCCAGCTTCCTGATGCTGGAAGTTCCGGTATCAGAATAAGCATGGGGAGTATTTGGCTGGATTGAGTACTGGCCCAAACACTCGGAACCCGCACCGGTACAAGTGTCGGTATCGGTGCGTCCCTAATCGTCATGACGTTCATAAGAATTCCAGACTCAAAGCGGCCGATGAAGACGCATGACATTCAGCGTATGGTATCCCCATCGCGGCTTCCACCTATCTGACGAACGTGCGTCGCGTCCAGCAAAGAGAAGAGCCGCTGCTGTTTCAACTCCAAGCCTCATCGCGCCCCTTCAAGGACAAGCAGTACCGGGTCCGACTCCATGGGCCGCGTCCACCAACACACCGACGCGTTTCCTCCCAACCAGGGACGGACCGGGAGACATGTGCCGCATGCAGCTCCAGGATGAATGTGTTGGGAGCCCCGCCCATTGTCTCGCGATTTACTTTCACATTTATAAATATCGCAAAACTACCAAACTTTTGTATCTTTATTTTTATGTTTCCTCGTCCTGGATGTCACATCTCTTACCCCTCTCGGCGCGCCGCTCACCCCTCTCCGTGTGCCTCTCACCCCTCTCCGTGTGCCTCTCAACGGGCCTCTCACCCCTCTCCGTGTGCCTCTCACCCCTCTCCGCGTGCCTCTCACCTCTCTCCGTGTGCCGCTCACCCCTCTCCGTGTGCCTCTCTCCCCTCTCCGCGTGCCTCTCACCTCTCTCCGTGTGCCGCTCACCCCTCTCCGTGTGCCTCTCTCCCCTCTCCGCGTGCCTCTCACCTCTCTCCGTGTGCCGCTCACCCCTCTCCGTGTGCCTCTCTCCCCTCTCCGCGTGCCTCTCACCTCTCTCCGTGTGCCGCTCACCCCTCTCCGTGTGCCTCTCTCCCCTCTCCGCGTGCCTCTCACCTCTCTCCGTGTGCCGCTCACCCCTCTCCGTGTGCCTCTCTCCCCTCTCCGCGTGCCTCTCACCTCTCTCCGTGTGCCGCTCACCCCTCTCCGTGTGCCTCTCTCCCCTCTCCGCGTGCCTCTCACCTCTCTCCGTGTGCCGCTCACCCCTCTCCGTGTGCCTCTCTCCCCTCTCCGCGTGCCTCTCACCTCTCTCCGTGTGCCGCTCACCCCTCTCCGTGTGCCTCTCTCCCCTCTCCGCGTGCCTCTCACCTCTCTCCGTGTGCCGCTCACCCCTCTCCGTGTGCCTCTCTCCCCTCTCCGCGTGCCTCTCACCTCTCTCCGTGTGCCGCTCACCCCTCTCCGTGTGCCTCTCTCCCCTCTCCGCGTGCCTCTCACCTCTCTCCGTGTGCCGCTCACCCCTCTCCGTGTGCCTCTCTCCCCTCTCCGCGTGCCTCTCACCTCTCTCCGTGTGCCGCTCACCCCTCTCCGTGTGCCTCTCTCCCCTCTCCGCGTGCCTCTCACCTCTCTCCGTGTGCCGCTCACCCCTCTCCGTGTGCCTCTCTCCCCTCTCCGCGTGCCTCTCACCTCTCTCCGTGTGCCGCTCACCCCTCTCCGTGTGCCTCTCTCCCCTCTCCGCGTGCCTCTCACCTCTCTCCGTGTGCCGCTCACCCCTCTCCGTGTGCCTCTCTCCCCTCTCCGCGTGCCTCTCACCTCTCTCCGTGTGCCGCTCACCCCTCTCCGTGTGCCTCTCTCCCCTCTCCGCGTGCCTCTCACCTCTCTCCGTGTGCCGCTCACCCCTCTCCGTGTGCCTCTCTCCCCTCTCCGCGTGCCTCTCACCTCTCTCCGTGTGCCGCTCACCCCTCTCCGTGTGCCTCTCTCCCCTCTCCGCGTGCCTCTCACCTCTCTCCGTGTGCCGCTCACCCCTCTCCGTGTGCCTCTCTCCCCTCTCCGCGTGCCTCTCACCTCTCTCCGTGTGCCGCTCACCCCTCTCCGTGTGCCTCTCTCCCCTCTCCGCGTGCCTCTCACCTCTCTCCGTGTGCCGCTCACCCCTCTCCGTGTGCCTCTCTCCCCTCTCCGCGTGCCTCTCACCTCTCTCCGTGTGCCGCTCACCCCTCTCCGTGTGCCTCTCTCCCCTCTCCGCGTGCCTCTCACCTCTCTCCGTGTGCCGCTCACCCCTCTCCGTGTGCCTCTCTCCCCTCTCCGCGTGCCTCTCACCTCTCTCCGTGTGCCGCTCACCCCTCTCCGTGTGCCTCTCTCCCCTCTCCGCGTGCCTCTCACCTCTCTCCGTGTGCCGCTCACCCCTCTCCGTGTGCCTCTCTCCCCTCTCCGCGTGCCTCTCACCTCTCTCCGTGTGCCGCTCACCCCTCTCCGTGTGCCGCTCACCCCTCTCCGTGTGCCTCTCACCCCTCTCGGCGGGCCGCTCACCTTATAAAATAGACCTGAACAGGTCTAGAAATCGCTTTCATGGGTCTCCAATCGATCTTACACAAAGGCCGCCTCTCCACAATCGTGGCACGGAAAGTGACGTCAGCGCGTCGTCACCGACGCATCCAATAAAATATAAAAAACGGCCCCCGGGCGTAAAACCGCAAAGTTAAAAAAACTTCCTTTTATTAAAAAAAACTTCTCGCATGAGGAAAGTAGATGTAAAACTTCAAATAAAATGTATTCCCGCCACCTCCCTCCCCGTGTTCTCTGAAAGACGGATCACACAGGAGCCGCGCCGCCCGCCGTGCAATCTCCAATCCGCGTCCGCCAGGCTCCGCCCTACGCGCTAACTCGCTGTTGATTTCATCTGGGTCTTGGAGCCGCAGACGCACTCGGAGGATTATAAAGCCGACTGTCTCCACGGCAACCGGCAATGATGAGCAATCGGCAGCGACGGACGAGGCCCCATTGAGATGCATTGGAGCGCGATATCGCGCAGTGTGAACGGGGCCTAAAGGCCGATATAAAGCAGCCTATGCAGGGGCGTAACTAGAAATCACAGGGCCCCGTAGCAAAATGTTGTATGGGGCCCCCCTGATTGCTTGCGGCCGGGGCCCCCCTGTGCCCGGGCCCCATACCGGCCGCCTGGGTCGCTATGGCGATTGTTACGCCACTGAGCCTATGATAACTAGACATGTGCCATTCGTTTCGTTACGGACCGAAATGCGTAGGAATTTTCCTGAGATTTGTAGATTCGGAAGCATCCGAAATCCGAATGGCAGTTTCCGAATTATATCCGAAATACGGAATTCCGTTAACGAATTTCGGATCCGAATTTCTTGGAAACGGGAACTAATGTTACCCCTGTAAATGAGGTTGAACAACATTTTTAATCCGAGATACGGATGCGCTGCTGCTGAGAGTCGCATTACAATACACACACAGGCAGGAAGTACGAAATTCCGTCGACGTATTTTCGTTCCGTTACGAACATTCGTTATATTGAAGGTAAAAAGCAAAGTACATTTATATTGGAGTTGATGGTAGTTTTTTTTTTAAAGTCCGAAATTCGGATCCGGAATCCGTTAACGGAATTCGTATTTCCCGACAGCTCCATGTCAGCACACAATGGGGGGCGGAGCCTGCACCATTGTGTGCTGACATGGAGCTGTCGGGGAAGGAACATTGCGGTAAGTATGGTAATACAATTTTCCTGTTTTCGTTTTGGTTGACCAATCAGAGGTTGTCTCTTCTGCTGCTGAGAGTCGCGTTACAATACACAGGCAGGAAATACGAAATTCCGTCGACGTATTTTCGTTCCGTTACGAACATTCGTTATATTGAAGGTAAAAAGCAAAATACATTTACATTGGAGTTGATGGTTTTTTTAAAGTCCGAAATACGGAATTCGGAATACGGAATCCGTTAACGTAATTCGTATTTCGGATAAAAAAACAACGACCACATCGACTCCGATATTAACGAATGTTCGTAAAGTTACGGAAATGTGCCGAAACTAACGAAAATCCGTATTTCCTACCAATCCGAATTGAGTTTCGGACACGAATTACGAATTACGAAATAACGGATATTCCGAAACGGAACGAATTTTTATTTGACGGCGCACAAGTCTAATGATAACCATTGAATATGGTCCGATATATATTGTATGTTATCTAGAACAGTGTTTCTTAAAGTGTGGGTCGCGACCCCATATGGGGTCCCGCAAGTGAACAGGGGGGGGGGGGCGCGGTTTGGTCCAGGTCCAAGCTCCTCTCCATGTTGTTGGTGCTTCCAAGTTACATTTTTTAGATCCAGAATCTGGGCTTCCAACCGACCAACCAGCTCACACCGTGCGCAACCGCGTTCAACGCTGGTTCAAGAAGCGCATACCATGACCAAGATGATGTGCCGCGGGTCCCATTTCCACTCGAAGAAGTCCTTATCCCTCAATTGTCACAATACAGCAACAGTGCCCACATGCCGAGCCACACTGCCCATCAACTATCGCAGTACAGCCGAGGACAACACGATGAGACGTAACCTGCAGTATTCACATTCAACACTAGGCGGCGATCTAACGTGGAATCCACACAGGAAGTGATGTCAGGAACTGACAGGAAGTGATGTATGAGTATAAAGGGGAAGTTCTAGGTTTAAGGTCAGCTCCGAGGAAGTATAGAGAAGACATTGCTGGAACTGGAAGTTGAGGCGGTAAGAAGATATCATTTTATGTTTATACTTCTGGTTACTTCCCGTTGTATGTTTCCTCTTCCATCATCGACCGCATACAATCCGCCATTTATAGACCGGATGCATCCTAAATATAGAGCCATCTATCCAACCGTCCACCCAGAGCC